CATAAACATCACGAGTCTGATTTTCCATGAAATCCCAGTGTAAGCCCCTGATTCTGCACCTTGTCACATGAGGCTGAGTGAGAGATACTTACCCAGCAGCACTACATACAGAGGTCCATCCCAGCAACAGGGGTGTATGTAGGGGCGGGGCCACCGGGGCACTGACCCTAGCTGAAAACTGATTGGCCCACAGACTGCCCCCTCCCTTCACTCACAGCATATCATTGGCTAATGCTACGGCTGGCCCCTTGGTATGAAAAGTTCTATAACGGTCCATGCCCAGCGAGTTCACGAGGTGAGAGTTCCCCCTTCCAGGCTGCAGCTGAAATTCACGTCTCCAAGGACAATAGCGTGGTCTACATGTGTTACTCTTGCCCAGGGATGTGGGAATAAATGGATGTAGGTTAGTGTGACGAGAGGATGTGGGGGGAGGTAGCCCATGCCGCAAAGTGGACACAGGTCAAAATGTCCACAGCTGCTGGATGAGGAGAAAAGGTGCAGGGTGGTAACAGCAGCAGATGGGTGGGATTCGGTAGGTAATGTAGGGTAAGGGATGGGGTGCTTATGAATAATTTAGGTTTCATATGGAAATAAGAGGGGAAAGACGGGGAGATGCGAGGAATTGAGCCTTCTGATCTCTTCGGGGTTCCAGCATGACTGACCCAGAAATCTCACGTTAGGCTCTTTTATGGGAATGGATCACCGAGTTTGGAAGGAGCCATAAAATACCAAGGCGGTTCATAGAGTGCTTCTTACCTGAAAAACAGATGAAGGATTCAGGTGTTCTACAAGCTGTTGAACAGCACATATATCAGGAAGGAACATTCATTTACATTTGGTTATTTGCCAGATGCTTTTATCCATAGCGACACACGGTTGAGAAGGCAGGGTCAGCCAGTCGCTGGAGCAATTGGGATTAAGGGCCTCGCTCAAAGGCTCAGTGGTGAAACCTTTCTGCCAGCCACAAAATCTGAACCGCCGATCTTCCGATTACAGGCACAGTGACCACACACGGTTACTCTATGACATGTAGCACACACCTACACACACATAGTGATGAGCCTTCCCAAATCTTAGGGGTTACTAGCTGCTATGGAGCTCCATCAAAGAAGCTTACCATTCAGGTTACTCATGAGGTTACTTTCCCCCGTCTCCAGCCCAAAATCACGCAGTCAGATAACGGCTCCATTCAGCAAGCCTCCACTTTCCTTTTCACTTCATTCTCTGCCATCCATCCCCCATTCTTCCATCACAAAATCCATTGCAGGCTCAACCATTTCGACAGGTAAGCCCCCACTAGATCGCTCTCTTTGGATATAACACAATATAACGTCCAGGTCTGATTGCAGTCCAAAAGGTCCTGACACATGACTACGTCTCTGATTATCCGACTGCAGCTTGGAGCACTAACACAAGGCGACAGCATACAGCTAAACAGCTAATATCAGTTCTTAGATGAGGTCAGTAAATGCACTGCTTCTAAAATCAGCTTCAAACCTCACAACACTCAACCTTCCTGAAGAAAGAAGAATTTTCTTTTTTTTTAGTAGCAGGTGCATGAAATTTCTGCATCCTTCCACCTACAGACAGCTACCAACTCCTCCTCCTCTCTTTTTTGTTTGTGGGACTCCCTCTTAAGTGGGCACCACCCGACCACAGAGCACTACTTCCCTGACCGTTCAAGGTCAACAGCGGGCACCACAAAGCAGCGGAGGCCGTGGCCTCTCTGCCTGAATTGACAGGTCACAGCAAGGGGGAGGTCAGGAAACATCACAGGGTTAAAAAGGGCATCCTCTCCTCCCAGCCATATCACGCTAGGGATACAGCAGCCGCTGAGTGTGAGAATGTGCACAGGAGCCTACGTACGCCTGCTCAGTGTGTGCACAGGA